GGCCGGTGTCCAAAGGCCGCCAGCCCAACAGCGGTCGCTGTTGGTTTGGGACTAACAGCTGTGTGGGCATTGTACCCATTTTTTCCGTACCCATTTTCGGGCGTCCAAGAGAGAAAGCTTTTTTTTGTGTTTTTTTTTTTTTTCCCCCCCCTTGCCCCCTTCTTTTTACTCTTTCTGTTGTGCTTTTTTATATTGTTTTTTTTTCTTTTTTGATTTTTCTTTTTTTTCGTTTGTTCTTATTCTCTTTTTTTTATTTCCTTTTTTCATTTATTTTTTTCCCCCTTTTTTTTATTTCCCTTTGCCCCTTTGTGCGCCCTCCTGTTCTCGGTTGCACGGGTGCGCAACTCACCAGTCCGCGTCCAGTTCTGGTCCGACCGCGTCGTGCACCACATCGCTGCGACTGGCCTTTCTTAAAAGGCCTCAGAGGTCCATCCCAGGCAGAGCAATCGGATGGCAAGCGAAAAGGCGTGAGCTCATGGGAGCGGTTGTGGCTTTTGAGGGAATTCTTTCTGGGGCTCCGGAAGCCTTTGGAGCCATGCTGGTGCCGTCTTTGGGGCCTCTCGGGGGCATTTCGCATGCTATCATGCACCATTGCCTGCGACCTTGAGAGACAAGTTTGTCTGAGCTCAGCGGCCAGTTGATCGTTCCTACGAAGACCTTGCAGAGGGTGATCTCCTAAAGGGTGTCCAGCCCCCTTCGTTCGCACGGCCTGCGAGCATTGGGGCGCCCGCGGGAGCCTCAAGAGCTCAGCGCACCGACAGCACCCCCCGTAGCCGTCCCAAGCCTTTCCAAACATAGTCGACGGGTGCTCGTTAGCCACGCCGTGACCAGGGCCGTGCGATTTTGCTAACTGTCGAGGGCTTATCGCCAGTCTACCAGCGAAGTATCGCCGATACCGGGTCGATGCTTCGCCCCCCTGAGCCAGGTCCTCTCCCCTAACGTTCCCCCTCGTGCTGGCCCGTCAGACCTCCGGCGGATTGGCTGGTTCGGTCCAGGCGCTCTTTCTCCAAGCCCTTGCAAACGAGGTGTTTGTAAACGGGGTGGTAACTAAGGGTGCGTTTTCAAATGTGCCTTCGAGCATCGATTTGCCGCGCGCAAGTGCTAGGTAATCCCCCCCGCCCAGAGCTATGATGACGTATCGACGGTATTGTCGTCCCGATTTTTCACGCACCAGTGCGAGGCAAACGCCCTATCCCCCTGTACTCGATCGTAGAGGCCCCTTAGCTGCCACCCCGTTTACTGAAACCCCGTTTGCGTGGGCCTGATTTCTCAACCTCGGCTTCCGAGGGCCGCTTCCGGGCCGCGGGGCCATCGGAAGGGTTGTTTTTTCTGGGCGGAGGCATGGGCGCCCTCGAGGGTGCGAAGATGTTCGCGCCTCGCGGTTCGGCTCCGAGTCCTCCTCGTCATTCTTGCTCTCCCCTGGGGGGTGGCGCGAGAGCTCGAAGCTGGGCGCTCGTGGGAAGGGGTGCCCCACTGGGTCCCGCGGGCGGAGAAGGTGATGGCGTTAAGGAGGAATACTCAGAAATAGTCAAAAATAGTCAGGGGACGATTTTTGGAGTTATTCTTTTGGATAGTTGGGAGTATGTTCGGACGAGTCTTACTCTTCGTCCAGCTTCCACCTGCAGGGAGGCATGCCCGACATCATGGTAGCGTCGGAGGTCGCCGGCGGCGCTCCCAGACCTCCAGGCTGGACCTGAGCGCTGTTTCGCTGGACTTCGGCCGTGTCTTGTTCTTTGTCTTGGCGGGGAGGTGCAGGAAGACGGGCAGAGCAACACGAGCAAGCAGACGAAGGCACAACGAAGATCGGGCGAAGAGCACTATGCATATGCACCGATCCTGACAACGCCCATCCTTGACCCAGGATCGGTGCATATACCTTCCTGGCCAAGGTAAGAGGGATCAGGATGTTCCGATCCTGGGCTCAGGATGGTTCTGGCCAGAGTCGGTGTATGTGCATAGTGCTCTTTCCTCTAGAAGAACAACGTTGAGGTCCAGCCCTGCAGCCCGCAGGCCCACCTGGCGGCAGGTGCGCACCGACAGAGCGGCGTGGGCGCGAAGTTCGGGCGTGGAGTCATGGGGGGGCGACAGCCTTCCACCGCCAACTTCCATACCTTTATAAATCGGGCGTGTCTCTCTACAGGGGGAATATTCAAAACTAGTCAAAAAGTAGTCTGGGGACGATGTTCGGATTATTTTTGACTATATTTGATTATTTTGCGGTATTCTTCAATTTTTCGTCCCAAATTCGCTTGTAGGGGGACAGGCCCGACCTAACCATACCTTCCGACCTCCGCGGAAGGTGCGGACAAATGCATCGAAATTCGTGGAAGCCCTGCCTAACTCAAGGAAGCACACGACGATCGTATCGAGAACGGGGCGGAAGGTCAGGGCGGAAGGTCTGGAAGAATGAGGGGGAGGGAAAGTGCGTGTGGGGGTGAGAAACGTGCTCGTTTCGTGCACCTTTTGGGTCACAGGGCGCCCCTTTAGGACACAAACGGTGCACCTTTTCCTCTGGCCCCCAATTCTATCGCCACCCCCCTATTGGCCCATTACTCGACACCCGAGAAGTAGGTAGCATGAGCTGGTGCCGCCGGCGCTGGTTTCACCAGCGCTGGTTTCGCCCCGCCGGTTTCGTCGACGGCTGATTTCGCCGGCTCTGGTATCGCTGGCTCTGGTTTCGCCGGCGCTGGTTTCGCCGACGCGAGCCTTCACGGGCGGGTCGGGTCGGGCGGGCGGACCCCAGCGGGCGAGCCGGGTTGGGTCTGGCGGGCGGACCCTGCCATGACGGGCGGGTCGGGTCGGGCGGGCGGGACATTGAATTGTGGGGCACGCTCGACCGAGCACGCGCGAACCCGAACATGCGGGTCGAGTCGGGCTGGCGGACCCTAGCAGGCGGGACGTGTCGGGCGGGGCGGGCGGACCGTAACGGGCGGTTCGGGTCGGGCGGGCGGAACATCACAAAGTGTGGGGCGCGCTCGACCGATAACGCCCGAGCCCGAACGGGCGGGTCGGGTCGGGCGGGCGGGTCGGGTCGGGTCGGGCGGGCGGGACCGAAGGGCGGGTCGGGTCGAGCGGGAGGGACATTAAAGTGTGGGCATTTCGACGAGCACGCGCGAAACCTTCACGGGGGGTCGGGTCGGGCGGGCGGGACCTTGTGTTTTTATTATGTTTCTTTACTTCTTTGTTTCTTTTTTCTGTTGGCGGACGGGTCGGGTCGGGTCGGGCGGGCGGACCTTCCCAGGCGGGTCGGGTCTTGCGGGCGGAACATCAAAGTGTGGGCGCGCACTCGACCGAGCACGCGCGAACCCGAACAGGCGGGTCGAGTCGGGCGGGCGGACCTTAGCGGGCGGGTCGGGTCCAGTCGGGCGGGCGGACCTTCAAGGGCGGGTCGGGTCGGGCGGGCGGGACATTAAAGTATGTGGAGCGTTCGACCGAGCACGCGCGAACCCTAACGGGCGGGTCGGGTCGGGTGGGTGGACCCTGACGGGCGGGTCGGGTCGGGTCGGGTCGGGCGGGCAAACCTTGACGGGCAGGTCAAGTCGGGCGGGCGTGACATCAAAGTGTGGGGCATTTTCGATCGACAACTCGCGAACCCTGACGGGCGGGTCGGGTCGGGCGGGCGGACCTTAGCGGGCGGGTCGGGTCGGGTCTGGCGGGCCCTACAACGAGCGGGTCAAGTCGGGCGGGCGGGACATTATAGTGTGGGGCGCGCTCGACCGAGCACGCGCGAACTCGGGCGGGTCGGGTCGGGCGGGCGGACCGTAGCGGGCGGGTCGGGTCGGGCATTTTCGCCGACGGCAGCTGGTTTTGCCGACGGCAGCTGGTTTCGCCGACGGCAGCTGGTTTCGCGAACGGAGCTGGTTTCGCCGACGCAGCTGGTTTCGCTGGGCGGTGAAACCAGCTGGGCAAAACCAGCTGGGCGAAACCAGCCTGGCAAAACCAGCTGTCGGCGAAACCAGCGGTCGCCAAATCGGTGTGGCCGCGAACAGATGTGTGGTGGATTGTCTGAGCATATGAGGCGCTTCAGAGATGGCTTTGCCTTCGAGGGACTGAGAGGTCGATACATCTCTTTGGCGACGGTAGTTCCGCAGGCGGACGCCTGGGGAAGCAAGCGTATTTTTCCAAGAGATGCCAGTTTTGGGGGGCTCAGGGGGTCGGGGACCCACCATGTGTACTGCCTGGACTCTCGATCAGCTGTCCATGGCGTCTCCGTTACCCGTACTCTTGTTTTCCGCGCTGCGCTTTTCTGCGCCTGTTGCGCAGCCACGGTTTGCTTTGCATGTTTCCTCGGCACGTTCACGAAGAGGGGGCGAGAGCAAGTCTCAAGTGCCCGCTTGCTGGGCACTTTTTGCGGACAAGCAGAACCCCCGAGCCTGAATGTTAAAGATGCCCTGAGTGCACGCAGGCGCAGCACGTGCACTGCCAGCAGATGTGGCACATAACTAAGTTACGTACGACGAATTCGGGGTATTATGGCCCACGGCTCCCGGGGGCCAGGAGTCACGGCGAATGCGCGGCACTTGGCCGGGAGCCAGCGTTTCGAGGAATGCGGGCCATTCGGACCGCGCGGAGCCACCGTTCGTGCTCGGAGGTCAGCGCGGAGTGCTCGGATCGGCGCGGGGCCATTCGCTGGCGCGCGGAGCGTGCCAGGTCAGCTGCGGCGCAGGAGGCGCCGCCAGGGGAGTCTGACGCCCATGTAATACATCCGCGCGGACCTTTGAAAGCGGACATGAAAATTATACGTCTGGGCGTTTGTTCAGCCAAGGCGTTCTTATTCTCAGCTGGCGCCGTGGAGTTTGCATTTCTGGCAAAATTTGAATTGTACAATTGTGCAACTGTTGGGCGCCAGTTGTTCTTCTCATTGTACGTTTGGACGTTTCTTTCATTTGTTCGAACGGCCAAGGCTTTTTCTTCTCAGCTGGCGCCGTGGAGTTGCTTCAGCGCGGGGCGGCGGGCAGCACAGCTGGTGTGTGCGGCATGCGGCACGCATGGGCACCCAGGCTCGCCGCATGAAGAGCAAGATCCTCATCGGCGGCGAGGCGAGTGAGGTCGCCAGGCTGAACCCTGAGGCCCAGGGAAGGGAAGGGCTTATTTTTGTTCGCCAAGGTCAGGGGTGACGTTCGGGGAGAGGGATCGGCTCAGGGGCGGGGGAAGGCTTCGATGTCCGAGGTTTTCGGACGTCTTCGCCGGTTCTCGGTTGTTTTCCAGCTTCGAAGTGCGTCTCAGCAGCTGCGCCTCGCTGAGAGGCGTCCTGGGGTGTTCGGATCAACCCGATCGGCCGCCAGAGACCCGATCTACTCCCCGACTTACGGTCGACGAGGATAGGCTCAGGGGGCAGTTTGTCGCACCCCCCATCGCTCACCCATCGTCGACAGGGGCCCGACATCCCACCCCGATCCTCCTCTCCGTTCCTCGGCTCCTTCTCTTCTTGATCCTGCTCGCGCGCAGAAGGGCTCCCCTCGGCGCCTGGGCCCATGCCGACGGAGCGAGCGAACCTTCGGGCGCTGCCGCTGCAGAAGAGGACACGTGGCCGACAGGGGCCCGACGGCCCGCACCGCCCGTGCGGTCTCGCAGCCGGCCCGAGCAGCACAGACATCTGCCCTCGGCCGTCTGGGGCGCTGCCCGGCGGCGTGGCTTGAGCGGAGCGTCGGGAGCGTCGGGGGCGGAAAAGAGGGAGGATGATGACCAGGGGGGGATACATATCATGGCGTGGGCCATGATAGTTCCCCAGATTTCATGGCGCCTCTTCTTATTCCATTGCGTCCCTGGCCCCCCCGCTGGGCCGCGCACATGTCGCCGGTCATGAGTTGCATCCTCCCCTCTTGGACCCCCCCCTCTTGACCGCTCCCGAGAGCGTTGAGATGGGGGTCAATGCAAACGGGGGCCAGCCAGGGCACCAGTCCTGCAGGATCCTGCGACGACCCTCTCTGGCTGACCCATGTTGGCGAGCCGCGAGGCGGCCGCGCACAGGGGTTGACCCGGGTCTGCGAAGCCCTGCGTTGCAGTGCTCTTTTCTTGCGTTGCAGTTTTTTTTGGCTTCCTGCTGACCCGGGTCTGGATTGACCCGGGTCAGAAGATCCCCGAGAGCGGAGCGGGTGCCGCCGAAGGTCGACCTCGTTTGGCCGATCCCCATCCCCACTGGGCCATGGCATGTGCCAGGGGAGCAGGAGGCGGCCACGCGAAGAGGGAGGCGGGGGGAGGGGGGAAGGCTTCCGGTAATCTTCGAAGGAAGCTGCTTCTTGGAGGGCGTGGGCCTCATCTACAGATGTGGGGCAGGCGCCTTCTGAGAACCAGCCTCCTTCTAAGAAGCTTTCCCCCCTCCCCCTACCCCCCCTGCGGGCGCCGCCAGCTATTCCTTCTGGGCCATGCCACGATTCAGAAGAGCAAGGGGTGATGATGTTGCGTTCACAGAATTGCAAGGTTTCCAATGCTTTTTTTTTTGTTTTTTTTATTTTTAATTTATTCTTTTTTTTTTTTTTTGTTTTTTTTTTTTTTTTTTTTTTTTTTTTCTTTTTTTATTTTTTATTGCTTTTTTTATTTTTTTTTTTTTATTTTTTTTTATTTAGTTTTTTTTCTTTTTTTTTCATTTCTTTCTTTTCACTTTTTTTTTTTTTTTTTTTTTTTTTGTTTCACAGAATTGCAAGGTTTCCAATGCTTTCCTCCTAGACTAGCGTTCCGCACGGGTTGCAGATCCCCATCCCCGCTGGGCCATGCCATGGTATTCTTGTTCCACCCACTCGGCAGGCGATCCCAGGGGGAAGTGAGAGGGGGCAGGCCACCTCAGCGGGCGGCGGGGCTTCGCAGGCGCACTCGCGCCCTCCAGATGCTCCTAAGAATGCCTGCCCCCTCTCACTTCGCCTGGCATCGCTCGGACGTGTGCATGTTTTCTCGGCGAAACCCTGGAGGACCATCCTGGACCATCGAGCAAACAAAAAATAACACGCACGAAACCGACGAATGCACGGGAAATGGACGTCCGAGCGATAGCGAGTTCGGGGCTTCTCGCAGGCACTCACAGCCTCTGAGAAGTCTCGTGAGGAGGCATCCCTCCCCCTCGCTGCCCCGCTGGGCTCGCCGCCGACGTTCACTCTCCAAGGGCGGGGATTACCAGCTTGGAACGTATCCCTGTCCCTATGCTGGACATCTCCTCATCACGATGCCAATCTCAGGGATTCCCTTATTTTTTGAGGGCGCATCCCTAAGATTGTCATCGCCTTCTGGCGTGTCAATCTTAGGGATAGGGATAAGTTCGAGGCTGGTAAGGGGAGATGCCCCGCGACACCCGCGGGGCACCGCGAGCGGTACGGTCCCCGCCCGAGGGGGTTGACTCGAAGTCGGCCAGCGGGGCCAGGGCCGCGCCGGTAGGAGGAGCGGGATCGGCGGCGCGAGGCCTGGAAGAGGTGGTGTGCACGAGGGGGGGTCTTCGTGGACGTTCTGGTTGGCGAAAGGGGGACTCCTCCTCCTCCTTTTCCTCCTCCTCCTCCTTTTCCTCCTCCTTTTCCGTTTCCTCCTCCTTCTCCTCCTCCTCCTCCTCCCTCCTTTTCCTCCTCCCCCCCGCCCCCTGTTCCCCCTCTCCTCCTCCTTTTCCTCCTCCTCCTCCTCCTTTTCCTCCTCCTCTCCTGTTTCAGTCGGTCCCCGGAGGCTGTCTGGCCTCTCGCTGCCCTTTCCCGCCGCTGCGCCCCGTGGAGAGAGCTTCCCCTCAGGCTGCCCGAGAGTCGTCCCGAGAGCGGCGCCGGGAAGGCCCGAGTTCTGCTCCGAGAGCCACGGGGCGTCAATGGGGGCGAGCACTGTGAATCACGGGAGGAGGAGGAGGAGGAGGAGGAGGAGGAGGAGGAGGAGGAGGAGGAGGAAGAGGAGGAGGAAGGAGGAGGAGGCGGAGGCGGAAGGGGGAGGGGGAGCGGAGGCGGAGGGAGGGGGAGGGGGAGGGGGAGGGGAGGGGGAGGCGGGGTAGGAGGGAGGGGGAGGGGGGGGGAGGGTGAGGGAGGGGGGGGGAGGAGGGGATGGGGGAGGGGGGGGAGGAGGAGGAGGAGAGGAGGAAGAGAAGGAGGAGGAGGGAGGAGGAGGAGGAGGAGGCAAGGAGGAGGAGGAGGAGGAGGAGGAGGAGGTGTCGAACTTGGGGGGGTTGCCCCCCCGCGCGCGCGGCCTTCGTCAGACCCGCATGGAGCATGGCCGATGATGCGTCACCTCCACGGGAGAGGGTATCGGACGTCCGTCGTGGCGTCACGATTGTGCAGTACAACCCGCAGTCGGCGAACGTGGCCAGATCTAGAGATATTGTGGATGAGCTACGAAACGCGGATATCATAGGTCTAGTCGGGACTCAACAGCAAGCAGGTCAGCATGTATTTGAATCCAGAATGCACGGTGGACGCTGGTCTATTGATTGGGGGTGGAGGAGTGGGCAGCACACTTCTCGGAGTTGTGGAGTGAGCGTGTGGATCAGGAAGAAGCTGTTCACCCCCAGACAGATCAGGGTTTTTTTTAGATGCCTCGAGGGTTTCAGGGACGCGTCGGAGGAGTCAAACCCGAACGTGCAGGCATGAGGCTCGCAGCTTTTGTTTTGTATTCCCCGCCAATGCCTCGAGGATTCCAGGAACGACGTCAATGGACCAGGACTGTCATGGCTCACCCAGGCTCTTTCAATTGTATCGGCCAGGTGGCCGACTATTGTGATGCTTGGTGCGAACGGTCAGTTTGAATCTGATCCAGGAGTGACGGGTAATTACGGCACGGGCAATATGAATACTACCACGTCAGGGTTGCTGTCACTGTTTCAAGCGCACAATCTTGTTGTTGCGAATACGGAGTATGCTGCTGGAGATACGTATTATGGTTTGAATTATATTCCGGCGGTTCTGGACCATACTGTTATTTCGAGGGAATGGGCCGATCACACCACATGGTGCAGGACATTTATACGAAGCGCATGGCGTCTACAGTCACATCACACTCGTAGAATTTGGGATCATGCACCGCTTGCGTGCGTAATACCGTATGGATATGTGCAGGGCAAGTACCACCGTGAACAGGTGCCGCAGATTAGTGGAGAAGCTCTGGCAATGATGGTGCAGCGAGGCTGGCAACGAGCTGTTTTCGTGAAGAAGGTGGAATCCGCCTTGAACGCAGAGTGGGGGCATGCGTCAGCCTTGCCAGCGTCTCGAGGAGGGGAAGTAGCCAATACTATGCGCATGGAGACGATTAATTCAACCGCCATCGAGTTTGTTCCCCTTTGCGAGAGCCCTCTGTACACGGAGGGAGGATCACAGGCGTCATTGTGCTGAGGCTTCTTTTTGGTTCTGGCAGCGTCGCAACATTCGCGAGCAGTTCTCAGGGCCGGAGGCCCTTGCCAGGCAGGAGGATCCTGAATCGGCAGCTCTGCATCTTCAGCTGGAACTAAAAAGGTTGAGTACGTGGTTGCGACGACGTAAGAAGGAATACTGGGATCAGGTGGTAAATGATAGATGCACAGCTTTCCAGGAGGCGGCTGAACGAAACGACGGATATATGATACACACAATGGCCCGTATGTCAGCACAAACCACACGCGGTGGGAGGCAGCGACCGTACATATTAAGGGTGGAGGGTACTATCGAGGAGTGGAGCAGGAAGGTGGAGAAGGTGGGATACGCGGGCGGATGTTCGGCGCAGCTCAGGGAGGAGGAGGATGGGAAGCAGGAGCGAGCACGACAGTTTCTAAGGCCAGATATGGTTATGACTGAAACGCTGGAGGAAGACTATGATAGGCTCGCGCGTGCTTTGTGGAAGGCCCGCTTGTGGAAAGCGCGTCCGCAGTGGAGCTGCCAAGTCGAGTTGTTGCGTGCGCTTTTTGTCCCCCGAAGTGGAGTAACGAGAGGATGCGAGAGAGAAGGCACGGAGTGGGATTCTCGGCGGACGCGACCAAGCCTATGGCGCCGAATTTCAGAACATGTTGGTTCCTGCTGCGCCAGACCCGCATGTGCGACAGGCTACCGCTGTGCTGACTTAAGGCGGAGGTGGCAAGGATTGGGAAGGCCAACGATAAGGAAGGGACGGAAGGGGGATAGGATTGTCATGATGATATGTTCGCTGGGGAAGATCTTCTAAGAGGTGCACTCTCGAGTGCCCCAGAGGTCGAGGTGCCGAGTTGGGTCTATGACGCTCTCAAACATCGTCGTCGAGAAAGTGCCATAGTCGTGCAGTCGCGTTCGGCCTGGCGCGTGCGAAGTTTGAATGTCCAGCATATGCGACGGTTTCACGACGCTGCAAACGCTATGTATTCGATGTCTCTGGCAACGCGGATGAAGACAGCGCTGGGCACCCCCCGCCCGGATGATGTGCCGCGCATGCTGGGTCGCGTCAAGCTTGCGCACTTCATTTTTTTTTTTTTTTTTTTTGTTGGGGGGGGGGGGGGGGGGGGGGGGGGGCGAAGGTCAAGTATTCGCGGGATGGGGGGGGGGGGGGGGGGGGGGGGGGCGCGGCTGGGAATCCGATCATGGTGCAATTATTAATATTTTTTTTTGCGAAGGCAGATTCGGAGGATCGCAGCAGGCATAACTTAGAGCAGCATTGCGCTCGAGTGGCGCGTGCGATATCCCCCTTCACATCGCAGCAAGTTCAGGTATGTTTAACGCTGTTTGTCGACGGTTTTTCCGACCCCTTCGAATTCCGCTCGCTTCCTGATCTACAGAGTGCAAGTGCTGCTCAGAATGATCGTGCGAACGGGGCAATCGGAGAGATGGGGCTTAAACAGAACGTGGGGAAACAAGAAGCATTACCTATATGTCGTGGGAAGGGAGGGTACAGGCACGAGCAGCTCTTGCACCAGCGCCACACGTTGCCTGGTCGTAGTTTAGCTGTTGCACGTTATCTTGGCGCCCGTCTCTCTGCGCGCTTCGCCGCGGGGCAGGACATTCAGTTTCGGCTTCTGGCGGGGAAAATAGCGTCGAAGAGAACGGGGCACTTCTGGGCGTTTTCTACCCCCTCAAGTGGAGAAAAAATCTGTGCAAAGGGTATGTTTTAAATGCAGTATTGTCGGGGATGGAGGCGCTTGCTCGCAGTCGCGGACCTTTGCGTGAGAGCGACACTTTAAGCATTGGAGGATGTGTTGCACGGCGCGCCCGCGCGGTTCTTCGAGGAGCCGCCTGGGCAGGCGACTTGGCAGACTCGCAGTCGTTCGAATTTAGAAGCGCTGGCGGCCTTCAAGATTCCGCCGATCTTCCTGGAGCTACGCGTGCGGAGGAGGATGAAATGGCCCCAGGATTTGTTTGAGCACGGTGATACCTCGGCCCAGGTCCTCTCGGTTGTCTCCGGAGAGTTCCAAGTGGGACTTCAGACGCAGCCGGCCATCCATGACAACCCAGAGAATAAGTTATACCCTTGGGTTCGTCAATGCATAGAAGATACTAGAGCATTACATGTATTTGATGATGGGTTAGTTCTTCTGGGAAATTATGATATGTCCCCTACGAGGTTATCTTGAATGGTCGTGAGGATTTTTGCAGGCTGGATGTCTCGGCGCAGTGGCTCATTGCTGGACTACACAGAAGGAGTATCAGAGGAGAAGGAGGAGGATCAAGCCCGATGACATGGAGGAGGAATTTAGATGTTCGGCGTCGCTTGCAGACGGCAGCCTGTGCCCCGCGGTTTTCCCGACGAAAGCCCAGCTCGCGTCGCATTTCGCGCGCCTCCGAGGGGGCGGGGGGGGGGGGGGGGGGGGGGGGGGGGGCAGGGCATGGTGCACTGGTGCTCGCACGTGCGTGCTGTATTTCTAATCAGCGCACTATGTGTGGAAGTACGTTTACAAGTCATGCGCAATCACCAAAACACATGACAACATCACTGGGTAACAAAATATGTCGAGCTGATAAGGGGGAGGTGGAAACAATATCAAGCTTGCTGTTGCTGAGCGTCGGTTGTGTAGTTTTGGCTCGGACGACCCGATCGCTTTTCGCCGGCGCGTGCTGGAACACCTCAGCCCGTTCTTGACTGATCACGAGATTGAGTTTGAAGTGACGATGAGTTGGCTGATCTCGGGAGAGCCATCGACAGGTGCAACGAGGAAGCAGCAGAGGGCCGAGGAGATTCCACATCGGGCCAAGGACAAACCGTTGATCAAGCTCGAGAGTCGTGCACGCAGTCTCGAGCACCAGTCGGCGGCGCAGATGTTCTTGCCAAAAACGCACAAGATCGTGGAGACGGGAACTGCAGCCAACCAGAGTTATCTTCAGACAGTCAGGGACGAGGGCAAGGATCACAAGCGAGGTCCTCCCGAGCTGCAGACCTTTTCCGCAGGTCTGCCAGATTTAGATCTCTTTCTGGACGAGGGCTCTTGCCCGCCCGAACTCAAGAAATTCAGAGGTCTTGGTCAGAGACTGAAGAGTATGACGGAGCACGGGGCAGAGACCGAGGCTTCCGAATGGATTTGAGACTTCTCGTTCAGCCCCGCGTTCGACAGCTCGACCCTTCGGCTCACATTTCAGTCAAGGGGGCCGTACTCGTAGGAAAGAACGTGCAGCAGGCGGAGGAGTTGAACACACAGCAGCAGGAGGCTTGGGGAGGGATACGGACGGACGACTCGTACGATTCGTGCCTCCAGAGAACCCCACTTGAGTACCCAGTCGCTCAGTTCAAGATGATGGAGCTTCAGCATGTATTGGAAATTATTATGAAAGGCTGGGGTGCTAGCAAGAAGTTGCGTAGGGCCCCGCGCGGAGGCCTGGCGAAAGGGTTGGGCTCGAAGTAGCCCTGGCCGTTTCGGGCCTGTTGCTCGCGAGCCCAGGGACCAAAATTGTTGTGCCGCGGTGTTGCCCTGTGTGTGTGTGTGTGTGTGGAAGTTTTTGGGCCAGTTGGCCCACTTTTTTGGGGGGGCAACACGTGCGGTGGCGTTTGAGCATTCTCTGTGGCTCTTGGAGGTTTCACCTCCTCTGGGCTGTGGTAGGCCACCTGCGGTGTTGGGCGACCTCTCATGGAGCAGTGGGGTTGACGCCCCCCGCAGGTAATAGGCGCACCGATCGCGTCTTGTCCGCTCGTGGGAGCGGCACGCGCGACGATGCCCATGTGAATGGTTTCAGGTGGCCAGCTGAAGGCGAGCCCCGAATCCCAGGCGTGCCAGTGTCGGAGTCGCGAGGACTCGATGGGGATGTGCAGTGCAGTGCAGGGGGAGGAGGAGCAGGAGGAGGAGGAGGGGGAGGAGGAGGAGGGGAAGGGGGGAGGAGGAGGAGGAGGAAGGAGGAGGAGGAAGGAGGGGAGGCGGAGGAGGAGGAGGCAATGGAGGAGGAGAGGAGCAGGAGCAGGAGGAGGAGGAGGAGGAGGAGGAGAGAAGAGGAGGAGGGGGGGGGGAGGGGAGGGCCGGATGAGGAGGGGGAGGAGGAGGAGAGGAGGAGGAGGAGGAGGAGGAGGAGGAGGAAGAGCAGCAGGAGCAGGGAAAGGAGGAGCAGGAGCAGGAGCAGGAGCAGGAGGTCTGTGGCGAACCCGCGCGCACGAGGCGTGCGCCACGGGGCGCCACGTCAGGTGTGCGTGGTTGGCGCGCGCGGTGTCTGCGGACATTCCCCGGCCCGTCGCGCGCGTGCGCGCGCCGGACCTGACCCCTTCTTCGCCTCGACGCTGCGCGCGAGGTTGCGGCCGCCCCAACGCGTGTGTGTGTGTGTGTGTGTGTGTGTGTGTGTGTGTGTGTGTGTGTGTGTCTGTGTGTCTGTGTGTCTGTGTCTGTGTGTGTCTGTGTGTGTCTGTTTGTGTGTGTGTGTGCGTGTGCGTGTACGGCAACACCAGTTCGCTCTCCCTGCGGGACTTCGCCTCCGGCCCCTGTCCAAGGCGTACCCGTTCCTGTGCAAGCTCTTCGGCACCGCCTGCGCCCCGCGCCCTCCGGCCGCCCGAGGCCCCGCCCGCTCGCGCCCCGTCTCCCCAATTGGTGTTTCGCGCGCCCCGCCGAACTCTTGACCGGGAGAGGTTCGTTTTCGACCCGCAGACCAAAAACGTGTGCGTGTGCGTGTGCGTGTGCGTGGGGCTGTCGTGGCACCTGGATTGCATCGTCTTCCCTGGACGCTGTCGTGAGCCGCCTGATCCGCGGCCCTGCGCGCGTTAGGTAATTTAGTCGCGTCCGCGGCCCGTTCGCGACCTTCCGCCGCTGGCGCTTCCGCCAGCGGCTGTAAAAAAAATGTGCGCGTGCGTGTTTGTATGGTGGCTGCGGCACGGCAGCGGGTACGCACACGTTTTTTGTTTGCTGCTGTTGTTTTGATCGTTTGCTGCTTCCCCTTAGCGGCGAGGTGGCGACACCGTCGCGAGCATTGAGCGTCGAATGATTCCACGCACGCACACACACACACACACACACACACACACACACACACACACACTTCGCGGAGAGGAAGACAGAGAGCAGTGCAGCACCTCAGATCGCATGCTGTGGGATGAGGGCGACGGGATCCACACATGCAGTCGGGGCGCTGAAGAAGGAATTCCCTTCGTTTGGGAAGGAGCTCGGTGTTCCTTAGTTGTTTTACACTTTGCCTCAGGTTGTGCTCGGGGTGTCGATCGGACATCGAAGCTTAACTTGTGGAAAGGAGGGGCCTCCTTATTTCGGGCTTGGGGTTCCTTAGATCCACGCCCCGACTGTACCCTGCCCCACGTCTGGCCCATCCTTGAGGGGGCCCAGGCTCCATGGCGTGGCCAGGGAGGCATCTGCACCAGTGCTGGGCCCAGGATGGGCCAGGCCCAAAGCAGTGGACACGGTCAACCCGTATAGTAAGGATTCAGGAGGGAAAAAACACACACACACATACACACACACACACACCACACACCACACCACACCACAACACAACACAACACAACACAACACAACACAACACAACACAACACAACACAACACAACACAACACAACACAACACAACACACACACACAACACACACACACTTAATTGCCGATTCCCAGGAAAATGTGGAAACATACGGGAAGTGGGGGGGAAGACTAACACACAGAAAATATGGAGAAACACGGGGAATCTTTTTATTTGTGTGTGTGTGTTTATTTGTGTGTCCTTGGGCCCCTTCAAGGATGGCCAACCTTCCCAAGGGTGCCCTTTGCATCCTTGCCCCTTCGGCCCTTCCTCGGCGACTCCGCTGGCCAGCCTCGCTCGAACAAAGCGTGATTACCAGCCTGGAACATATCCCTATCCCTATGCTGGGCACCTCCTCATCACGATGCCAATCTTAGGGATTCCCTTATTTTTTGAGGGCGGATCCCTAAGATTGTCATCGCCTTTGGGCGTGTCAATCTTAGGGATAGGGATACGTTCGAGGCTGGTAACGTCAACATCAGCCTCCGAGGCCCTTGCCGCCCTTGCATCCCTACCGCGCAGCCTTATGATGCGCAGGAGTAGCCAGGGCTGGGGCAGTGGATATGCCTCTGGGGTTCAGTTGGGCACGTCCCCCTACAGGATGAGGAATATGCAAGACTGGTCCACAGAATAGTCTGGGGATGATTCCCCGTTCCCTTTTGCCTCTGCGTGAGCGCTTTTTGTTGGACTGTGTTCTATCGTTCTTCCAGAGCCCGCCTGTAGGAGGACGTGCCCGACCAAAGGAACCTGCCTCTGGGGACGAAGTCACCCTGGAGCCCCTTCCTGGATCCCTCCGCGGCCGCAGCGGGGGGGGTCTGGGCGCAGAGCCCCCCGGCATGCCCGCTGGGCGGTCAAAGAACTCGGACCGCGCGGAGTCTTGTTCCCCCGCAGTTGGATCGAGTGCAAACAGGTGGGGGATCTTTGCAGGAGAGGGGAGGGAGAGGAGGAGGAGGAGGAGGAGGAGGAGGAGGAGGAGGAGGAGGAGGAGGAGGAGGAGGGAGGAGGAGGAAGAGGAGGGGGAGGAGGAGGAGGAGGAGGAAGAGGAGGAGGGAGGAGAGGAGGGAGGAGGAGAGGAGAGGAGGAGGAGGAGGAGGAGGAGGAGGGAGGAGGGGAGGAGGAGGAGGAGGAGGAGGAGGAGGAGGGAGGAGGAGGAGAGCGGAGGAGGAGGAGGAGGAGGAGGAGGAGGAGGAGAGGAGGAGGAGGGAGGACGGGGAGGAGGAGGGAGGAGGAGGAGGAGGAGGAGGAGGAGGAGGAGGAGGAGGAGGAGGAGGAGGAGGAGGAGGAGGAGGAGGAGGAGGAGGAGGAGGAGGAGGAGGAGGAGGAGGAGGAGGAGGAGGAGGAGGAGGAGGAGGAGGTAGGAGGATGTAGGAGAGAGGAAGTGGGGATGTAGCAGAGAGGAAGGTGGGGAGAGAGAGGAGCTTCCCCCCTGCATGAGAGAGGAAGCTTCCCTCGTGCAGGAAAGAGGAAGGTGGGAATGTACAGTCGGGGCGATGAGGAAGGAACCCTCGTCGTTGGGGAGGGGCTCCATGCTCCTTGGTGGTTTTCCCGTTTGCCTTAGGTGTTCCCCAGGTTCTCGATGGGAAATCGAAGTTTAATTCATGGGACAAATCAGCCGTGTTCCCTATTTAGGGTTCCTTAGGTCAACGCCCCGAAGGTAGGCTCGGCGGCAACATCCAAACCCCACCCTCGCCGATCGGCACTCTGGGCAGCTCAATGGGCGACGAGGGTAGGGTTCGGAATGCATGCAACAAGCGAGACCCGACCCCTTCCCCCTGCCACCCTATCGATGCAGGAGAGTCGGAGGTCGGTGGGGGGGCGGGTTTCGGATGCCGCCACCGGAGCGACGCAGAAAACGGGATCGTCTGCGCCGACATTGGCGCGCAAGCTCCCCGCGTCAGCTCTCGCGTGAGCGCCCTCGTCTCCACCGTGGCGTGCCGCGCTGGCGGCCCGCGTAAGCCGCCGCGTGAGAACGCTATCCTCCTCCTCCTCCTCCTCCTCCTCCTCCTCCTCCTCCTCCTCCTCCTCCTCCTCCTCCTCCCCCTCCTCCTCCTCCCTCCCCTCCCTCCTCCTCCTCCTCCTCCTCTCCTCCTGCTCCTCCTCCTCCTCCCTCCCTCCTCCTCCTCCTCCTCCGCCTCCTCCTCCTCCTCCTCCCCTCCCCCCCTCTCCTCCTCCTCCCCCTCCTCCCTCCTCTCCCTCCCTATCCTCCTCTCCTCCTCCTCCTCCTCCTCCTCCTCCTCCCTCCTCCTCCTACTCCCTCCTCCTCCTCCTCCTCCTCCTCCTCCTCCTCCTCCCCTATAGACCCCGGGGGGAGGTCTTTTCCTACATGCGCCTGGACGAGCTGAAGTTCGAGCAGGCGCGCCGCCGTGGCCCGCCGTAGCGCGCGTGCGCACCCCCACCCTGGGGCCCCCTCTGGCGTGCGCCGCCCCTCCAGGGCGCCCGGGCGCCTCTCGGAGCTGCGCCGCGGGCAGATCTGCGAGCGGGGAAGAGGGGGGGAAGAGCCCAGGGCCTCCTCCTCCGCCCCCTCCTCCTCCTCCCCCTCCTCCCCGTCCTCCTCCTCCCCCTCCCCCTCCTCCTCCTCCTCCTCTCACCATCATCGTCCTCCTCCCCGTCCTCCCTCCTTCTCCTCCACGTCCTCCTCCCCCCCTCCTACTTCTGGCAGCGGTGGCGGAGCATCGCCCCATCACAAGGGGCGGGCTTGACACGCATACGCCAGGGAGCCTCACTGGAGGCAGGGGACACATCGGCGGCCCCGGGATGCGCGGTCGGGGGATCGCTCCCTCGACCGCCGCGCTCCCATGTGAGGCATGCAGACTCAAGAGTTAAGTCGGGCCTGTCCCTCTACAGGGGGAATATTCCAACATAGTCAGAATAGTCTGGGGACTATTTTTTTAGTATGTTGTTGCCCATTTTGGATTATTTTTGCGTATTTTTTATTTTGTTTCGTCGAAGGTCCCCCTGTAGGGGGACAGGCCCGACTTCACTCAAGAGACGAGGGTCGAGGCATTGTGTGTTCAGGGTATTGGCGAGGAATGGGGTTGGCGAGGAGTGTCGGAAACTGGAGCATATACACTACCAGTGGCGGGCGGCTTTTCAATCCCAGGACTTTTTGAGGGTCGGGGACGACGTCGGGGTGGTGTGGTGTATAAGTGTTTCCCGTTTTCCCAGGGAAACAACGAAACATGTATAAACCCAGGCTCCCGTATGTACCAGAATCCGCGTTACTGTGCGAGTTTCAGCGCAGGGTCGGAAAACGCGTCGGTGTATAGAGTTCGTTTCCCTAGAATGGAATGTTCGGGAGAGTGGGCCTGGGCCTGGGTTGGCGAGGCAGGGGATGGTCGGGGCTTCAGGGAACAAGCGGGGGTCGGCCACAGCGCCGGACCTTTCAGGATCCTGCAGCGTCAGCGTGGCACTGACCCGTTCTTGGGTGCTGGATCCTGCAGGATCTTGCAGGATCTTGCACGATCTTGCATCGCCCGACTGCCCCGCGTTTGCACTGACCGGGGTCAGCAGATCCCCGAGATTAGCGACTTGTGGGCGATGCGCACCCGCGCGCACCTCGTCGTTGTGCACGCCCTGCGCGTGCGTTCAAGGATCTCCGGCGGTACCCCACATTTCGAAACAAGCAGGGGGAAGGAGTGGGCTGTGGATTTTGTGGTCGATGTACACCCGCGCGCACCTCGTCGCTCTGCCCGCCCTGCGCGTGTCCAGATCTCCGACGTACCCCCACATTTTGACATAAGAGGGGGGGTCACAGCCCTCCCACACGGGCAAGTCCCCCCAAAACAGCCACAAAATTGTGGCCTTTGGCCCAGATTCTCATGGAACCCACAAAGACAGCTCAAAACATATTCCCCAAATAAGACCCCCCTCGTCCTGTAATGAAATCTGGAGTATCGTATCAGTAGCCTCGAGTTTGAGCCCGCTGGGGGTCTGAGGTGGCCCAGCACTGGTTCTGGCCAGCAGGAAGGGGAGCAAGTTTCGAGGTTCTGAGTTTGAAGAGTTGTGTTTGTAGTTCTGATGTGTTGCTGTCCTTTGTTGGCATCAGGGGGCAGTTTTTGCGACTTGGGACCTTGAACAACGAAATCCAGGGTGAGCAACTGCACCAGATGGCCCTTGGGAAGGGTCCCGGGACCGACTTTGAGCGGATTTGCCTTGATCCTTTCAGGAGGGAAACAAAAACACACACAGACACAATTTATCGTCGATCCCCAGGAATATAGGAAACATTGGAAGTGGGGGGGAAAACAAAAAACAAGAACACATTGGAAAAGTTTGGGAATCTTTCAATGTGTGTGTATTTATTTGTGTGTCCAGGGCCTCTTCACCCTTGCGTCTTGACAACGCCTCAACATCGGATCGGATCGGATCGGCATCGGCGTCCAGATGAGCTCGGGGTCGGATCGGAGGCGCCCGTACCCAATCCGTTTGAGCTCAGCATCGGGGCAGATCGTTCTTGGCATCGCTCGGACGTGTGCAGTTTTCCTTTGGCGAGGACCATCGAGGAGCATCCATTATCATTTGGCGCACAAACCACACACGAAACCAAAAAAACAGGAAGTGGACGTCCGAGCGATGGCCAGCGTTCGGATCGGAGCGGGACCTGGAGGCGGGCAATCAAGTGCGCTCCGACGGGAGGAACCGCAGTCCCTCGCACAGGCCCCCACCTCCGACGACACGTGTTGCTCATTATGTTTCTTGTTCTCCAAGACTTCGGCTTCCAGGGCCCAGTATCGGGCCCATGGGACCATCCACCACCGCTCCAGGACGCAAGCTGACCCACCAGCGACGGGGTTGGCAGCCTGGGCTCGCAGACGGAGAACACAACATCGGAGGACGACTGTGCTCACGAGTCGCACAAGGCGTCCTTCGCGCTGCTGTCCCTCTGCTCCTCGCCGCCCCATGCTGGCGGGGGCCCGTGGGGAGTGCGTGGCGGCCCGTGCTCCCTGGATAGGCGCGCGCGTTTGCCTCGATTCCCGAGTGCTGCCAGCTGGTGATCTCACACGCCCTGTTCCATTCGCCCCCACGGCCCCATGCCCTCCCATTTCCCCCCTCCCCATGCCCCCTACCTCCTGGGTCCCCTGCCGCCCCATGGCCCTCTATCTCCTTCCCTTGGTCCATCTCTTCTCCACTCTCCACCACCGCCTCACTATTCCTCCACCTCAAGCTGTGACCAAGCCCCAGCGTATCGATCTGCTTTGCTTGTAGGTCTACCCGGCCATGCTCTTGAATCCTACTGTTGCTAGCTTATGTCCTTCTGACGTTTCAGGCTATGCTACTAATGGAACAGCTCCGATATCCGAAGCCATTGCTATGTTTGTTTCTCTCTTGGTAGGGCCCCGAGAAATCGTTCAAGAAGGGAAGGGTGAAGGAAAACTCTGTCAACATCGGTCTCTGGGACCCGGACTGCTTCTAGGGTCGAAACTTACCAGTCATTCGGGCCGCGTCCATCCGTGGCGACGATGGCGGCGATTTTGTTCCCCTTTGCTGCTTGTTGGAACCAGTGCTTGGCCACCTCAGCCCCTCCAGCTGGCTCCCGAGGACAGCCGTTCCCCGCTCAGTGCCCAGCCGACCTGCTCCCCGCAGGTCTTTGCCACACGAACGCTCGACCCCGAGTCGGGCGCCAAGGTGACCGACAACGAGACCGAATCGGACGTCCTGAGGAGATATATCGTCCACGGGGGGGGGAGAAGGAGGAGGAGGGGGCAGGAGCCAGAGAGCTCGTGCTATATATGACATTCTACCCCTCCCACGTAGCCCTTCCCACTGCGCTGATCTGTTCTGTGTCCGCCGACGAGTGCCGCCGCGGACTTGGAACACCTGGCAGGCAGAGGAGGAGGGGGACGAGGGGGGAAGGGCCTGGCATCGCTCGGACGTGTGCATTTTTTCTCGGCGAGAACCATTGAGGACGATCGTGGACCCTCGAGCAAAAAAAAAACGCACGACACCGACAAATGCACGGGAAAGGGCCGTCCGAGCGATGGCGAGAGAGAGAAGGATAGAGATTGCTGGGCGGACGGCCTGCGTCCAGGAACGGACGCGGGCGGGATCGGGAGAGGGAGTGTCAGGGGCAGCGTGCGGAGGGGCGATGGTCTAAGGGCTCGGCATCGCTCGGACGTGTGCATTTTTCCTTCGGCGAGGACTATCGAGGAGCATCCTTGATCATTTGGCGAAAAAATCACGCACGAAACCAACAAAAAACACAGGGAATGGACGTCCGAGCGATGGCCAGAGGGGGGATTGCATCCATCCCCGATCGCCCATTGATCCCCGGTAGGGGCCCGATGGCCCACTCCGCCCAGGAACATGCGGATGGGCCACCGCGGGCCCATGGCCGATCTCTTGCCGACCCCAGCTCGATGTTCCCTCTCCCCTGAGCAGGTCCCCCCCGTCGTTCTGCCGTCAGGGTGAGAGGAGAGAAGAGGCGAGGAGAGGGAGGAGGGAAGGAGTGCGGGTACTGATCCCAGACATCCAAGCCTCGGCAAAAATCAAAGCGGGTGTTCTTCACGGTTTTCGGCTCTCGGGGGCCCTCGCCGTGCTGATTTGTTGGATGATGTGGAGGAGGAGGAAGGGCGCCCTCGGCGAAATCGCCGCCGTCGCGGTCAACGCCATGGTCGCCGTGGTCGCCGTCGTCATTGTCGTCACCCTGTGGGGAGCCACGCCCTCGGGTCGTCGTCGGCGTCGTCTTCGTCCTCCTCGTCGTCGGGAGCCCCGCTGGCGTCGTTGCCCTAGACGCCGCCTCCGCCGTCGTGGTCGTGGTCGTGGTGGTCGTGGTCCTGGTCGTGGTCGTGGTCGTCTCCGCCTCTGGTGGTCGTGGTGGTCGTGGTGGTAGTCGTGGTGGTCATGGTGATCGTTGTGGTCGTTGCCGTGGTGGTCGTGGTGGTCTTGGTGGTCGTGGTTGTCGTGGTGGTGGTCGTGATGCTGGTAGTCGTCATGGCGGTCGTCGCCGTCGTAGTCGTGGCGGTTGTGTCCGTTTTCGCCGTCGTCCTCTGGGGGGGGCCACCTGATGGGGGGCGGGTGGATGGCCCGCTGGGGGCTTCTACTTGGATTGGATCAGCGCGGGTGCTGCTAAGGGGATGGGGTGGCTATACGTGCATGCCAGGGTGAGCGTCGCAAAAAATCGAGGTCTCTGCGCCGACATTGGTGCGTAAGTTGCCCGCGTAAGGTCGCGCGTAAGCGCCCTCGTCGTGTGGCGTGCCGCGCTGGCGGCTCGCGTTTGCCGCTGCTTAAGGTCGCCATGCCATCTTGCGTAAGACATGTTTGTTGGTCGTTCAGGTGAGTGATGTCGACTTACCAGCATTTAGATCATATAAGTGAGTCACATGTGTCCTAAGTAGTTCGGGTGGGTTAGATAACTCCGCCTGGGTGGATGGGGCCCACTTAGCCCAGATCTGTATCTCCCTCATACCAATCAAGGCTTTCGTAACCTTATTATTATAAGCCACCAGGGCAAGCCCGCGCTGATCCAGGCAAGATGGAAATGACGGCCAAGGGGCACGGATACCATGGCCGGGGCCGTGATATCTCTTTGTCTTCAACGCGTTCCCTAACCCCTCTCCCTGGGCCGCGCGAGTGCTTCCGGCCCTGATTTGCGACCCCCCCCCTTGGACGCCTCCCTTTTGGACGAACCCCTCTTGGACGTCCCCGATGGAGCGGGAGGGATGTTAAGGAAAAGGCACCTCTGGCCGAAGAGGTCCGCGCGGATGTATTGGATCGGCGCTGGACCCTCCTGGCGGCACCTCTGGCGTCGCCGCCCCGGCAAGCTCCGAGCGCCAGGGGGGGGTCCATCGCCGATCCGAGAACTCCGCGCGAACCTTCAAAGTTCATGGTCAAGTAGTTTTTATTTTCTTGCTGCTTCAGCTCCTGGCAGCAGGAATGAAGATGAGCCGCCAGTTTGGCGGATACGCACCACCTCCTTCGGGAGGGGAGTGAACGAGCGCCCATTGGGCTTCGGGAAGAAGACCCGCGATCCTGAATATATGAGAGCACCGCCCTCGAAGATGCAGTCAGAGGAGGAGATGGAGCACGGTGTCCATGGTCGACATTTTGTACATTACATTCGCCGCCTGGTCGAGAGATCGACGTTGACTTTGGTGAACCCAAGGAACGTTTAAGGGTGTTTGTGGATTGCAAGCCTTTCCGTGTAGTGTTCTGTCAGATATCACCGCTGAGCGACCCGTCCTTGTAGCCATTGTTCGAGCAAATGAAAATCACAAAATAAAAACAGTCGTTCTTGTTTCACAAGTGGTTGCCGCCCACGAGATGGCATGACCCAGCAATGTCGCGTAGACGGGCGCAAAACATATTTCTTTTTACCATATATAGTTTCACAGCCTGCACGAGGACATTCTGGGCATCAGTGCAAGATCTTCCCGGCGACGGTTGTGTACTGTAGCATAGAGTCTGTATGTTGTCTCGATGGGGGCAAACTGAGAGGCGCGTGATCGGCGATGGGGTGGCAAATCCATGATTAGCGCCAGCAGAGTGACAGACTGGAGCACTTGTTCTAGCCACGGGTGGCGTTCCTTGCGATTCTCGGGTTTCTTGTTTTCCTGCGAAGGAAGCAGCATAAGCGGAAAGCACGTCTACAGGGAACGGTCTGGGGCAGGCACGTGCATGCACTGGCTGGTGCAGGCACGATCAGGCGCCGAACAGGGCACAGCTTCCTGAGGGCGAAAGAGCGTACGTACGGACTCTGACCAGCCAGCGCTCGTACTGCTGCAGACTTGGCGAGCGAAGTAGGACAAAGGACCGCAGCGGACCGTGCGGGCCTCGTGCATCGGCTCAAGACCCCCTTTTGCTGGCGCGCGAGGCGCGTCGGGGTCGTCTCTGGCGCCAGCACGAGCAGTCGGCGCGGACCTTTGGAAGTCAGTGCCTGTGGAAGAAGTTATGCCCGTGCTGCTGCTTCTCTCTTTGGAAGCGAGTGCCGTGGCGTCGGTGTGCGGCGAGATCCGGGTCCTTCGACTCGCTGATCCCTGGAAGACCTCAGCCATAGGTGTTCCTTAATGTTCCTGTGCTGTCAATGATTGGTCTCTTGGCGCGCGGCGCGCGGGATCGTGGGACGGCATGGCTCTCCTGAGATCCGTTTGGCGCTCGCGGCGAAGCTCGTTGAAGAAAATTAAGGTTCCGCCTGGCCGGCGCAGTCCGCGGTGCCTGTTCGGGGAAGGCCGTGAGCGTGTAGCCTTGCTCGTCTTTGAACCGTGCGCATTTCGCATGCCTTCGCAACGATGCCTCCGCTCCTCTGGGATCTGTGGCAGGCCTGGTCTTCAGGCGTTCACACTGTTGATGGGCGCTCCGCAACCTGCCAGGAACTAGCGGGCGAAGAACTGTACAACGTACATGTTTCGGCCATCGGGGGCGCCTGGCCCACTGCGGTTGGAAGCATTGTACCCCCTCCTGCCACGGTTGGGGGGCTAACTCCCCAGCCGCTCTGGGACAGGGGCCCCCGTTGGCGGAGCAGTTTAATTTATACCCTCCTTCGCACGCTGAAGTAGGTGGGTGTGGGCAGAGGAGAGGTGATGGGTTTCTTCTTGGGAGGAGGAGTGAGGATCAGGATGCGGGTGAGGAGGAGCAGGAGGAGGCCCAGTGTAAACCCAAGACCCATCAACGTTGTTGGAATACACCCTCCCTCCAAGCTCCCTCCTCATGGGCTCTCACAAGGATTCATTTCCACTGAGGGACAACCATGTGATCTTTCTGATTCGTACCAAAGCAATATTCTTAGGACTTCAACACCATGATTCAACTTGACTGTTGCGTCTTGGTGATTCTGATCTTGCCAAAACACCATTCCTGGGACTTCAGCACCTTGAATCGATGACACCGTTGCGCCCTGAGAATCCTGAATCGTTCTGAAACACAATTACTGGTACGCGTGTCAGCAACACCCTGCCATTTTTTACATGATTGCGCGCGGCGCTGAGGCGAGAACCACATTTTGAAAAGGTACCTCCCTCAATCCGTCAGATTCTTGGAAAGTTAAAAAACTGATGTGTGCAGCGTCAAGGCGAGAGCCACATGTTGAAAACGAAGCGCCCTCAATCCGTGAAGCTCTAGAAAATGCTTGCAACGAATGCGCACGGCGCTACGGCGAGAGCCACATGTCGACAAACACTCGTTCTCAATCCGTGGAGCTCTTCTATTTTTTCAACGGAGATGCCCGGCGCTAAGGCGAGAGCTGCATTGAGAAAACCACCCGCCCTCCATTTAAGCTCAAGGCTCACAAGTGGCAAGGGAGTCTCAGGCGAACTGCCCGGCCCGCCCTTCAGACTGGCCTCGGTGTGCGACAGGGAGTATATATTCGTAAGGGACATGGATGGAGGAGGAGGAGGAGGAGGAGGAGGAGGAGGAGGAGGACGACGACGAGGGGGAGGAGGAGCACGAGGAGCAGGAGGAGGACGAGGGGGACCGGACTCCGTCGAGTGCGGCATGGGCCACGGCCGAGTGCGCACACGGGCACCTGCGTCAACCTCTGCGTGCCTTCTCCTCTTGCCTGCGGCTTCGGTCTTCCCCTCCAGCGTGTGCGGTCGTCTCTCGGGGCTTTGCCCTCTCTTGGCCTTGACGTGAGGCCCCTCCTTCTGCCTTCCCCCCCCTGTCAGTTAAAGCTGTGCGCGGCCCGCTTAGCTTCGACCGGAAGAGGTGCGCTACCGCGGATCAAAGAAGTGTGCGGTCGTCTCTCCCCTCTCCCCCGACCTGTTTGGTTTTCTTCCAACCGCCCTGGCGAAGGCCTGGAGGAGGGCCACCATGGCCGCGAGGGTCACCCTGACAGTGCCATGGGCCTGAGCCCTGAGGAGGAGAAGGAGAGGAGGAGCAGGTCAAGGAGGGAGAACACAAATCCCTCCTGTTTGGCTCCACCCTGTATTTGATTCGTTCGATCCCCTTCGTCTCTCTCTCTCTCTCTCTCTCCCCCTCTCTCTCTCTCTCCCACACGGCCTGGCTGGCATATATTATGTGCGCTTCTGGGCCCGCTGTCCTTTTTCTTTGCCTTCTGCACCGACCTTGATTGTTGTTACCATCGACAGGCGTAATGCCTTGGCATTCAGGCCTGAGTCGGGACTCGGTTTCCTTTAAACGGACGGTACAGCCATGTTGTTCGAGTCCGTCCAGCGTCAAAAAGGGAGAAGAGGGGATGCATGCGATTTCTGGTCGACTTCGGGATTCCCCTTTGGTGGTGGAGCAGCGCTTCAACCCGCGCCCGCAACCACGAGCCACGATGAGGAGGTAGGAGGTATGAGGAGGAGGATGAGGACGAGGAGGTGGTCGTGGTACCTTTTCGCTTTCAGTATTCCCTCCCAGCCCCCATCCCTGATGGCTTGACGCCTTCTCGCCAATCGACTTGTGGGGCTCGAGGCTGATCAAATCGATGCAAGTATGGATAACTCGTTGCACATCCAGGTGCATCGTGGCAGATCCAGGGGAGTCCAGAGATCTCCCAGAAAATCTGTCGGGTATAGCCAGGGCCCCGGTTCAGGGGAGCCGGTTAGTGATTGGGCCCCGAAGCCCAACACATGGGTTGGGAATCGCCAAGCCAGGTCTGCCGTAGTTGGTGCTTTTCGGGTGGCGGCACTTCCAGGCAGTGGAACGGGACGTGGGGGGGGGCGTCCCCGGTGCAAGTCCGTAAACCAGGCCGCGCCAGCACGAGTCGAAGGGCGGCGGCAGACGTACCGCCTTGTGCGCCCCCCCAGCCAGGCGGCCCCGGGGGGGCCCGGCGGCGAGCGCCCGGCGAGCGCCCGGCGGGCCCGCGGCCGGCGGAGGTCCCCCCGCACCACAGCCGGAAGGTCAAGTGGGACCTGTTCGTGGGTGCGCGGGCGTCAGTATCGTTTCACCGACCCCTACCCCCATCCCCATCCCCGTCGAGACCCCCACCAAATGACCCCCCCAGTTGGGGGATATTCCCTTCGGAACCCGAAGGGAACGGCCTAGATCCCCATCTGGGGGGCGCAGATCGGCCAGCGGGGCCCAGGCCACGCCGCTGGGGATGGGGAGGGTGCGCGGGCGGGTTCCTGAGGGTTTGATCGATTGGCCTGTTTTCCACCACCACCACCATAAGTTGGAGGGGGGAAGGAGGTGGGGGACGAGGAGGAAGAGTACGAGGACGAGGACGAGGAGCAGGACGAGGAGGAGGAGGACCCCCCTCTTCAACTTGTGGAAGTAGTGGTGGAGCACAGGTTCATCATTGACGACAAGCTGGATGGGTCAAGGCCAATTCGGCGGCGAGTGAGGGGGGGAAGTGAGAAGGAGGAGGGCTTCTCAGAAGGCGGCGGGACTTCTCAGAAGCCCTCCGGCCTTCTGAGAGGTGTTCTGCGTCTTCGGGGAAGGCTCAGAGAACTTCTCAGAAGGCCGGGAGGCTTCCGAGCCTTCTGAGAAGACCCGCCCCTTCTCACTTTCCCCTTGGGCGCGCCACCAGTGAGGGTTTGACGACAAGCTGGATGGGTCAAGGCCGATGCGATTATATCAGGCTGGATGCGGAGGAGTCCAGGTTTATGTTGCTCCCGTCGTACTGAACGACCACATCCCAGAAATAATTTCGAGCGCCGGGAAAAGTGTCGAAAGAGTGTCGAAACAGTGTCGGACGAGTGCCCCCCAGGGCCCGACACGTGAAATCCTTGGAGTTTCAGTATTTTTGTGTGAAGCTCGGCATTCCTTCTGGTGATCAAGACCTTAAAGTAGGTTGGAACATCATAAGTCCAGGTAGAAGTCCGAGGATTTCCAGTTAGGTTTGGAGCGAGTCGTGGCCGCCCCAAGCGCGAGTCGAGGGACGGCAGGAATCGTCGACAGCCCTCAGCGAGCGGAGCCGGGCACCCGGGAGGTCCAGGGACCCTCTGATCATGCAGTGGCGAAGCATCCTGGCTCGCTTTCACGAAATGTTCTTAGAACCTTTCCGGCTGAGACTGTTTTGTTTTAACACATCGGGTCAATATGCTAAGAACATTGTTTTGGTTATTATAACAGCTTTGGGTTCTAAGAACATGTCGTGGTAGGGCTATCAGACTGCGGGGACGGTCGGTCCCTGCTCAATCTGAGGCAGGCGCGAGTCCTTTGGGGGGGGGGGGGGCGACGCGCGGGGGGGGGGCAGCGAGGGCTGCAGAAAAGGGGACCTTGGCCCCCAGAGGGGCCCTTTAGGAGGGCCTGGAGGGGAGCCTCGAGGGCCCGAAACTGCACGGCTCTTCCCTCCAATGCATCGCCCCCCCACTCTTCGCGCCCTTGGCCCCCAGAAGGGCCATTTGGGAGGGCCTGGAGGGGAGCCTTTGAGGGCCCGAACATGCACCCGCTCCTCCCTCCAGTGCATCGCCCCCCCCCCTTCTCGGGCCGAGCGAAAGGGGGGGATTGGAAAGGGGGGGTTACGAAATCTGCTGCATGCAGCTGGTTTCGGCCTCGCCGCCGGGCCCATTCTTTGATACATGGGCGCCTCCCCGCGCCAGAAGGCGCCGGGAAAATCAGCTACGCGAGCTGATTCTCACCCCCCCCTTTGCTACCCCCCTTTTCGCCCGGCCCGACATTCTTCGCGCCCAGTGAGATCTGGGCGTTGCCATTTCCTTACAGCGGGCGCTGCCGCCGGCCTTCGGGCCCCGGGACCATCACACCGATCTCGCCCCGGCTCGAAGGATTTGGCGAGGTCTCGGTGCTGTTCCCGACGTCAGATCGGAGGGGCCACTTTTTTTACCAGCGATGACGGAGCCCAGTTGCACGACACGACAGACGAACGACGGACGGCAGACGAGGACGACGGAGGGGACGCGACTTTGCACTCTGGGAGTTTGTTCTCGCTTCCTGTCGTGCGGATCGCACGAGGGTCCAGGAGCAAGGAAACATTGATCTGGGACTAGCAGCTGGCCCCAGGGAGGGGGGTCAGGGCCTCTTGGGTGGGGCTATTCTGTTTGTTTTGGCCGACGGCGGGTCTCATGTTTTTGAAGGTTGTTCTTCTGGCCCAGGTCCGATTGTGCCCCATCCCCACCTGAGCGACAAAAGACAACGGTGTCGACTGCGCCGTCGCTGGCCGCCGTCGCTGGCGCGCGTGAGCTTCCCGCGTCAGGCCGCGTTGAACAGCGCCTTTCTCTCCACGCGGCGTGCTACGCTGGCGGCCCGCGTAAGCCACGGCGTACAGTGCCGTTTTTAATACATGCTCCGCGTGCGGAACATGTATTAAACATGCAGGGAATTAGTATTAAAAAGCGATGAGTTCATGCACACATTTATTCATACTTTAATCATGTATTCAAATCCTATCTTTCTAAAACATCCAATGTATTAAACACTGCCCTGTAGGGTGCCGCGTCTTCTCGCGCAAGCCCCGGTTTTCTGGTCGCTCACTCGGTTCGGCGGCGAGCCCGGGGGCGAGGTGAGAAGGGCCGGCCTTCTCGGCAGGCTCGGCAGGCCTCGTCCCTTCTGAGAAATGTCTGGTGCCCCCTCCCAAGACCCAACAAAAACCTCTCAGAGAAGGGCTTCCGCTCCTCTCAGAGAACGCGTTCTCGCAGACAACCGCTCCTCTCAGAGAAGGCTTTCTCGCAGACAACAACACCTCTCTGAGAAGGCTTCCTCTGAGACAGAAAAAACCTAACAAAGCCTCTCCGAGAAGGCTGCCTCTCAGAACCAACCACAAGGCGCGAGGGCTTCTGAGAAGTCCCGCCGCCGTCCGAGAAGGCCTGCTGCTCCTCAGGTCCCCCCCCCTGCTCGCCGCGGAGCCTCCCCCCTCCCCCCCGATGCGGAGAGGGGCCAGATGGGCGTGGGCTTAGTGTACCCTGGAGCCGACAGGGCCGTTCTTTTACCGGTTCCGTTTTGCTTTTTTTTGCCGGTTCCGACCTCGTTTTTTTTACCGGTTCCGTCGCCGTTCTTTTACGGGCTCCTGCTCCGGCTCCAATCCTGGAGCCGTTGTGGTTGCCGTTCACGGCCGCCGTTTTTTTGCCGTTTCCATTTCCAAGGGACATTTTTTCGGAAACGGTGAATCATTGGCCCTGCCGTTTCCGGGGCCCACTAAGAGCGGGGAGGGGCCAGGTGGGGGTGGGTCGACGGTCCCCAGGCGGTGGATCTCGCCCAATCCCCGCCTCGCACTCGAGCCCGCAGGTGGGGAACTCCTCGTGGGGCCTCGCGATATGGGCCTCGGCCTCCCGGCGCCCCTGCCGCGGCAGGCCCACCGGCCGCTGGCCGGGGGCCTCCGTGCGCGGCCGAGGTTTGGCGCTCTGGCGCGCCGGGGCCCAGGCCGCCAAGGCCGCGCGGGGGGCCCAGGCCCCCCGATGCGGGGAGGGGCCAGGGCGGGGGTGGGTCTGCTCCTCCCGAGCCCCCCCAGGGCGGGGGGCGGGTCGGCCGTCGCAGGCGGCCCCACTGCGCCGCGCAGGAGCAGCGGCCCGCCTCGGAGCGCCCGGGAGGCGAGCGCGGGTCGGGGCGCGGAGCCTCGGGCCGCTGCGGAGGGGCCGTTGGGAGCGGCGGCGGCCACGCGGGTGCCGTGCGCGGGCGCCGGAGGCAGTCACCGCCCACGGCTGGGCTGCAGAATTCTGCTCCTCGGAGGTCTAGCCACAAGGCAGGCCGGGGGAGGGCCCGGGGAGCAGCGGTATCAGTCCGGGGAGATTCCCCACGCTGTCTGTTCTTCTTCTTTTTTTCTCTCACTCTCTCTCTCTCTCTCTCTCTCTCTCTCCCCCCTGCACTCCCCTCCTCTTCCCTCGCACATGGAGGGGCAGCTTGAGGGGGAGAAGAAGGTGCAAGGGCCACAGTGGAAGTTGCAGGGAGTGGATCGCTAACAGAAAGGGAGAGCCCTCGTTACGCGAGGTGCCCTGGTCCTGTACTCGGTAATGGTTATCCCCTTCCGCTTCGGATTTGGTATTCAAGACGACGGATTTTCAGAGGCGGTGGTTCCTCTTGATTTTTCAAGTTGTTTTTGTTTGTTCATGCGTGCCCCGTTGTACGCCGACAACCTTCACATACCACCATGCTCACATGGCAACATCATTTGTTCAGACGTCCAGTCACATAAGTGCACTGTGTGTAATGGTGATGCTGACTTTGGTGGTGCTACGTGGAAGTGCCCTGCGTACCTCCATCAATCAGTTTTGCCCACTGCTTCGTCGCGCATGCTGTCGAGTCTCCCACATCGCGGAGTTGCGGGTATTGGAAGTGCCTTGTCTCATGATTTGAATGACAGATTAGCAGAATCGGTAGTGCATGTGTTGAGGCCATCTCGGCAAAAACTTGTCACCCTTGTGCTCTGCCCTTGGAGTGGTAAGCCTGTTGCTCGGTGTTGTCTTCGGTCACTCCGTCGAACATGTGTCATGTCCACTACGTGGGAGACTATGACTATGAGATATGATCCATAGACCTGCGTCAATCATACCACAGCAGTGTGTCAAACATGTTATTGTCGCCCTGTCGCTACGACGCGTTTATATCGTGGTCAGCCGCTCGCCATGGCCCACTGCTCTCCCACTGTGCGAATGAGATGGCATCTCTTTGCCGTTGTCCATTTCTCGTCGGCTCGCTTATCTCCAGTTCGCCGCAGGCCATTGATTGTACTGTGGACTTCCTCTTTTTCGTAGACATCTGTTTGAGCTTCCGAACCGGCTATCTCGACTCAGAGGGCGGTGTCAATACGATACCGTCTCATATTCGTAACAGATATCTTCGAGGTGGGCATCGGGGAAGCGAGTGCAGCCGAAGTCAGCAGATTTGCGCATCATCTTCGCGCGATGCCTCCTTGCTCCCCAGTCATCCTATCTCGTGACCGGCAACAATTCATCGTCGAGCCCCAGGAAAGCATGAGAACAGATTGGAAGTAGGGGGGGAAGACGAACACCCAGAACATATAGGAAAATGTTGGGAATCCTGCGATCTGTGTTTGTTTAGTTGTTTGAACCTGGGCCCTTTCTTTGCTTCAACTCGATCCGATCCGATCCTGCGCGACCCGAGTTTCCCCCCAATCGGCGGGATGTTGGTTGAGGCTAGGACGTGCTTTGTGTATTGTGCGATGAGTGATTTTTCTGTTTCTTCTTCTTAGTCGTATCATCACTTGAGAGTCGACAAGATGTGACGCTGTGATAGGGATAGGGATGATGATATCATATCACCTGCACTGGCGGGAGATAGTGCGACTTCCGACGTTGCCGTTCACACTGCCCACCACAGCATGTGAACCAGTTCCCGCTAGATAGTGGATCAAAGCCCTACCCCGCCGAAGGCGCTGGCGAGGACGGCGAGGCCGCGGCGCGGGCGAGAAGCCTGCTCATGTTCAGGCCCAGCGAACAGATGCCTGCGCGGCAGGCCGCACGCCGCGCGGCGTTCGGGATTCACCCTGACGTGCGCGTCCTAGCTGACTCCACGCTGCCGCAGGGTCAGACGCTGCGCGAGGGCGTCACCGTCGACTGCGCCGGGAATGAGGGCGCAGGTCGCGCGGGCATGTCGGACGAGCGGCGGCGGTTGCGCCTCTACGTCATGTTTTCCCACGCCGCGCGCGTGCGGATTTGGTTGCTGTTGTTTTTGTTCCCCTCTTGTCCTCGGGCGTCCGCGCCAGAGTTGATGGAACGCGGGCCGCCAGCTCCCCTGCGGAAGGCGTTCGGGGAATTCGAGGACAGAGTGGATGCTTCCGGCCCGGGCTGAGGCGGGGCAGCTCGCGGTAACACCCCGTCGCGCGGCTTCCCGCGTTAGCGCGGCCGCGATTAAGTCGACACCTACGGGGTTGCCCCAACGGTTTGCCTCCGCGCCCCAGAGGCCCATCGGTTTGTCCCAACGGCGTGGTCCGTTGGTCTGTCTCAACGGCGCCGAGGGAAATCCGATTGCGCGCCTGTGCGATCGAGGTGGGCGAGGAAGTGGTGGATGGTGTTGCGGGGCCAAGGGAGCGACGAGGCAAAACAGGGGGCGAGAGGAAAACTCCCGCCACGGCGAAGACGGTCAAGGGCGAGGCACACACACATAGCTTCGACACTCACAACTTCAACTGTGAGGATTACATTCGTTTTCGGTTTGAGGATTTTCATGTTGGCTCTTCCCGTCGGAGTAATTGTGGTGCCCTGACAAAACATTGTATCCCGTCGAGGAGACAACGACAACAAGGGAACAGCTTAAACGCGGAACGCACACAACACATCTTTAGGTACAACCAGCATGGGAAAGCACAGCGGAACACTTGGATGACCAGGTGATACCTTCGAGATCGCTCTAATATTTGTAAGATGTCTCAGTGCGTTTCGGCGTGTTTGCATGGGTTCGTTGTTGACGTTGTCTTCTTTGCTCCCCGCCGATGAGATCCGAACGTGGCCCGGGTTCGCTGAACATTGGTGTGGTTTGCGGCGGCATGACAACCCAATAAATATTATGTGCGCGGCGGCCTTGCACAGGGACCACAGACCTCCTGGCGTCGTTCAAAACATGAATGTCCTTTCTAACTCTGGAAATGCCTTATCCTATTCCGTTCTAACTATTTTTCCTTCCTGGCCCAAGCCTCCTGGCGTCGCCAAAGGAACAAATAGACAAAACACGACATTCAAAACGAAATTCCTTTCTAATTCTGGCACTTCCTTGTCAAGGCACTTCCTTGTCAGGGGCTTACCCCCGTGATGGCATTACAACAGATTCCTTGCGCGACGGCTCTGCAAACAGTGCGTCCCATCGTGGCGTTGCCCGTTTTTTTTTTTTTTTTTTTTTTTTGGGGGGGGGGGGGGGCCGTTTCCGAGAACATGTCTTCACTGTTGCGGCGTACCGTCATGTTAAGTAGAGCGAAGCCCCACCCTCATCCGTCCCTTCTCGTGCCCAGCCTGCAGGGGCCAATCGCGATCCGACCCCGCACGGACGTGCCAATGCTTAGTTATGACTGTAGTTGAGTCGCATGTCTAGCAGGAGGAGCTGTGATGGAGGATCGCCAGTTGCGCGCCGTGAACCGATGAACATCGAGGAGCATCGCCTCACGTGGCGGCGAGGGGTCGACCAACAACAACAGCGTTCGCTTGGCTAATAGCGTTTCGCGCTGTTGCACGCGCAGGATGCTGATGATGATGATGATGATGAGGAGGAGGAGGAGGAGGAGGAGGAAAAGGAGGGGAGGAAATCCACTTCCCACCCACGTGTTTATTTGTTCCCTGAAGCATTCGGAGGGTTTGGGCCATTGATAATCAGGTTGCCATACGTACCCGCGGGATTTCCCAATGGGGACATTCGAAATAGGTCTTGGGTCCAAACGTGGACTTTCACCCAGGAAGGAGGTCGAAGCAGGGAGGCGGGGGGGGGCGAACAAACTGCGTAACCGGAGGGTGGTCCATTTCCTATCCAGGAAGCCCGCGCGTATCTAAACTCTACGTTTGTGTTTTCTCCCGCTGTTGCCTCAGTAGGAGGGGGAGGAGGAGGGCAGGTAGTGCATCCGACGGCTAGCCTGGCCTAGGTCGACGTCCGGTGGCTTACCCATCGCTCGTTGAAAGCAGGAGTGCCTTTGGATTCCCGGATCACGGTCTACGTCGGGCGCCTCCCCTTTCCGGTAACGGGCACGTTGTTCCTGTGCCCGTTATTTGCAGGCGTGGCCGAAGCTGGCCGCGGTCACGGGAAATGACGGGCTTGTTTTCCACCACCACCACCACCATAAGTTGGAGGGGGAGGGGTCAGGAGCAGGACGGCCAAGAACCGACCCAACCACAGTTCCACATCCTTGAGGACAATTGGACTGTTGGACTCGCTCAGGCGGACGCTCCATTGATGGAGGGACTTGATTTCACCTCCCATCCCATCCCAGTCACTCAGGCGTTGGCTCGTGACGTGGAAGGACAGCACCAGATTGATTGGCATTACGCGAGATGGGTCACGGCCTTGGAGGAGACTATACTCTCTGTTGAGCCAGCGCCCCAGCGACATTGCACGGGCAGACGCAACGGTTTCCAACTTCAATGGGAAGTATCTAAGTCAACCCCAGGGCGAGTCCATGTGGAAGATAAGCCTGCTGAGTTATGGGGTGTGATGTCGACCTTGGTCTCACGCCTGCGCAAGCTGGTCGCCAAAGGTCTTGACCCAGAGCAGCAGAATGATATACTCAGGCGGCTGAAAGAAATTGGTTCTGGCATTCTCAAGGGCACGCCACTGCAGTACTTCGGCAAAAACAGTGATGCGGATCGCGAAGAATGGATTGACATGTACAGCAGGCTTTGCAACGTGGACCAGTCGCAGATCCAGGCTGAGTACTCCGCAGTGATGGCCATGAAGAAGGCCAGTAAGGCCCCGACGCCAGACCACTCCGACATCGACCCAGGCATCCTGAAGCTCATCAGCCGCACTCCACACTTCCAGTGCTGGCCAGTCTTTGGCACCCCCTTTGCTCAGGAAGGTACGGATGCGGCATCTTCAGTTATGTGTGTCCTGGGAGAGGCACACGGGGTCGGGGGCTTCCCCCGCGGACCCACAAGTCCTACGGCTACGGCTACTCCATCCCCGAACCCTTCGCCTGAGTGTGCCCAGGGAGAGGCGCACGGGGTCGGGGGCCTTCCCCTCGGGCCAACAGGAACTCCAACGGCTGGTACCGCTCAAGTTCTTCTGGCCCCCCAAGGTAGGGAATGTTGTCACGGTGGGCGTCGTCCTGGCGACCCTCAGTCACCTTGGGCGTCCATCCATGATGATGAAGACCTGCCTGGCCAGCGTGAGGGAGAGGTGCGTGTAGGCTCTCCACAGATGCAGACGCGGCATAATTTGGATATGTGCACGATGGAAGAGGTGTACGGAGTCGGGGGCTGTCCCCGCGGACTCACAACTGCGACGGCATCCTTGTCTACTTCGGCCTCATTGCTGCAGGACGTTGACGGCAACAACGGGATGGTTAGTCGCACAAATATGGATGACGAAGATGAGACGCCACAAGTTCGCCTGGCCCCCCAAGGTAGGGAAGATTGTCATGGTGGGCGTCGTCCTGGCGAGCCTCAGGGAACACCTTGGGCGTCCATGCATGATGATGATGACCTGCCTGGCCAGCGTGAGGGGGAGGTGCGTGAAGGCTCCCCACAGATGCATATGCGGCATAATCTGGATACGTGCACGCCAGAAGACGTGTACGGAGTCGGGGGCTGTCCCCGCGGACTCACAAGAACGACGGCTTCCTTGTCTACTTCGGCCTCATTGCTGCAGGTCGGCCCCCCTACAGAGCCCCTGGACCCACAATGCATGCCCACCAACCCCGCAAGGGGCGGTAGTAAGGGAGCAGAGTGGGGACAGTTGGGAGGCCAGGCGAATGCCGTAGGGAGCGAGTCCGACCTGCGGCACAAGGACATCAACGGCAGCAGCGGGATGGTTCGTCGCACGAATATGGATCATGAAGATGACGCGTTCCCTCAGACTGAACACGAGGAGGAATATGCTCCACAGGTTGACCTGGAACCAGCAGATGTTCCACCTGAACTTGGCCCACCACAACGGGCGTTGGCAACCCTGTCCCTCGATTTTCTGGACAAGGTTAATGAACGCACGGAGTCCTTGGAGAGACGAGCTCAAGCACGGGCTTTCGCCAAGGGCCAACATAGTTTCATGAAGTGGATACGTGAGACGTGGTCTAAGAAGCCTGGGATCTTGCATCGTCTTGTGAAGGACCCCCAGGCTGACACCACGGAAGTTGAAGGCATTGCTGACCCAGATCTCATCATGAACAGCCGCCACAAGTACTGGCAGAATGTCTGGACGGACAAAGTTGACACCATGGAAGACATTGTTCATGAGATCGGTCAGACGCTCAAAATTGCGAAGGAGCAGGACATCGACCCAATCACACTAGAGGAGCTGGTGAATGCACTAGCTCGTACGTCGGCCAACAAGGCCAAAGGGGTAGATAACATCAGCGTGAATGACATTGCCAGGCTACCCGTGTCAGGCAAGCAGATGCTAGTGGATTTCCTCAATTGCGCGGAATTTGTGGGCTCATGGCCGAGGCAGATCCATGCGACGATAGGAGCACTCGCGGCCAAGCCCAGAGGAGGAGACAGAGTATTGGGGCTCCTCCCCACCACGGGAAAGGTTTGGAGTCAGACCCGAGTCGGACCAGCTGCAGAATGGTCAAAGGGGCTCAGTGACTTCTGGGACACGGCGCTGGCGGGGTCCTCGGCCCTTCGGGCCGCCATGCTAAGATCGCTCCTCGACGAAGTGGGGATGGTCAACAAGAAGCATTTCCTGACCCTCCTTCTGGATCTGGAGAAGTTCTACGACAGTGTATCGCTGTGCATCCTTATGCGCACAGCCATCAAGGTGGGGTATCCAGCCATTGTGGTACTCATGGAGGTGCAGATGTGCATCGCCCCAAGGATCCTCAAGCTCAAGCAGTGGGCGAGTGACCTCCTGATCGTCACCAGATCGTTGGTGGCAGGCAGCCCCAAGGGGGTTCAACTCGCCAAGGTCTTTCTCCACCCAATCCTTGAGAGAGTCCACAAGGTCGCCCCACAGACGATGTTGGCCACCTACGTTGATGACACCGTTGCTCGTGATGAAAATGATGATGAAGAAATTGTTATTGCTAATATGACGGAGGCTGCAGCTGAGTTCAGAGCGGCATTCCTAGAGTACAGGCTGGTTGTTTCGGACAAAACAGATCTGATCGCGTCGTCCAAGTCCTTGGGTCTACGCATGGCCAGGATTATGAGACGACTCGGCATCCCAGTATCCTACAAGCTGGCGGCCACGGACCTGGGCATCGACGTCAGCGCTGGGCGCAGGAGAGTAAAGAAGAGGGCTAACCAACGTCTCGCAGCAGCCCGACGGCGTCATGGTCGCGTCCTTCGCCTTCGTCGTCTCGGACCCAGAGTCCGAAGAGTCTGCAGTTCACTTTGGAGCACGGGAGTTTCACCACAGGGTTGCTACGGCCATCAAGTTCTTGGCACGGCTCCCAGCACAATGTTGGAGGTCAGGCGCCAGGCAGCGTCGGCCATTGCAGGTACTAAGCGAGGCAGATGTCTGACTTCTGTGCTGGAAGCGACCCTTGCTCAGCGCGACCCAGGACTCGAACTACCTCGTCAATTATTGGAGGCATGGCTGCGTTTATGGTTTGACAATCCACAATATCACAATCCCATTCGGTGGGCATGGTTGCGAATCCACAATGCTGTAGTGGTGAATGGCAGGGCTAGATGGCAGAGAGTCCGTGGCCCAGTTGCTGCAGTGATTGCCACCCTCGTCAATGCAGGCTGGGAATGCAAGCAACCAGAAGTTTGGACTCGGACCATTGCGGGCATTGAGTGGATTTTCCCCAGAGTGGGCACACCTCAGTACCAGCAGGTCGATCTTCACGATATGCTACATGAATTCACGGCAGACCTCCGACACCAGCTCTGGAGGAAGGCCAGCCAAATTGAGGGAGCACATGACCTACAACATGGAGCTGATTTCTCTCAGATCAAGCGCGAGCTCGACAGGTTCGAACGCAAGCAGGACATGGAGAACTGGGGCCTCACCTTGACAGTGGTGTCTGGAGGCCAGTGGACTCGTGAACGACAACGGGCGCAGGGCTACGCCACGGAGCCGCTCTGCAGACGTTGTGGGCGGGAGCCGGAGACGCTCCTGCACCGTGTATGGCTGTGTCCAGCCAACTGTCATCATGATGCGTACAGAAAAAGTGACAGCCTCATCGCCCGTGCCGTCGCCTCCCATGAGAGCGAGCCCAGCCTTTGGCTCCGTGGGGTTCCCCCCGAGAAGCAGGTGGTGCCTGAGTTTTCGGAGGAGTCTGTGCTTGAGAAAGGGCTGCTTCTTATGGGGAACCCCAGCGCTGCTGTTTCGGATCCCCTCCAGGGCCCCCTCATTGTCTTTGGAGACGGATCTGGAGGAGAGCACTCCAGTGATCCTCGGCGTCGGCGGTGCGGGGCGGGAGTTGCCATTCTCCAGGCGGACCCTGTCGCCGATCTTTCGTGGGGCACTGTTTGGGCGGCCTCTGCGCCTCTGGTGGGCCCCAGACAGACGGTCCCCCGCGCGGAGCTGCTCGCTTTCTGCTTGGCCTTGGAGTTGACACACGGCCCCCTCGATTTTATCACCGACCACCTCCCCCTGTATAGAGCCTGGCAGTTGGGTAGGGGTGTTCGGAAGGCTCCTAAGGAGCAGAATTCTGACCTGTGGGTGAGGATCCGTCAGGCGTACTCTCTGAGGCCCCACCCTGTCCGTGTATTTTGGACCCCCTCCCATCTCGAAGATGAGGAAGGGGGAATTCGCACTCTCTGGCAAGCTTTCCTGTCTTTTGGAAACGCCGTGGCTGATGACCTCGCCAGCGACTCTGCTGCCCGCGGGTTCCAGTTAGCCACCGAGTCTAAGGAAGTGCCTAGGACGGACGAGCTAGACGTTGTTGCCTGGCTTGTCCGCCGTCGTGCGTCCCAGGCCCTCCAGGACACTGCTGCCGTTGACCCTTGGGAAGGAGAGTGGGCGGGCCCTGCAGTGCCGCGCCAGCGCATATCCCGCAGAGTACAGGTTCTGCGGGACTCCACCCACGCATTCCAACGCGCAGGTGGCAGGTGGAGGTGCTCCACCTGTGGCGAGCTCGCCACCACCACCGCCTTGGAGGCGGCCGCGAGGAGGCCGTGCCGCCCCCCTCCCATCTCCTCCTCCTCCGCCACCACCCCCAATATGTCTGGGGTCACCATTCGGCGGGAGTCGGGGACGGTGTGGGTGGGGGGCCGAAAGGTTGACCCCGGACATCAGATTTGGTCCTGGGATCACATGAGTCTGAAATTTTGTATGTTATGTGGTTTCACTGCGACCCTCGACGGACGCCACCTCTCGCGCCCTTGCGGGCCCGCCGTCACGGGAGCGGCGCGCTCCAAGAAGGGGCAGTGTAACCTCGTGCGAATTTCTAAGGGCCTGCACCCGTGCCCCCAGGGGGCGCCTGAAGTGGCCCGATCTCTTCTTTGATGTGGGTGCACATCTATAGTTCTGGCAAGGACACTGGTCCTCAGTGGTAATCTCCTGGTAATCTCCTCCTCCTCCTCCTCCTCCTCCTCCTCCTCCTCCTCCTCCTCCTCCTCCTCCTCCTCTCCGTCCTCCTCCTTCCCGCATCAAGTTCATGGTGGTGGTGGTGGAAAACAGGTCCATCAGGAAAGCCCTCTCGTTCCTTGGCTTGCATTCCTCTTGGCAGCGCGTCGGCTGCACCCCACGCCCCCCCAGCGAGGGGCACCCGCGGCAGGCGCCCGAAACCCACAGCCCTCGGCAGTGCCACGGGCGCGGGAGGGTCATCGCGCGGGGGCCTGGGATGTTTGCGTTGTCCGCAGGGGCGCGCTGCAGCCGCCGTCGAGGAGGGGGAGGAGGAGG